AGGACCCCACCCCCAGAGTCCAATTGCTGTTTCCTTTTGTGTTCTCAGGTGCTGAGAATGAGGTGAGAGAGAGGGGTGCCTTCAGATATTTTTGTCCCTCCTTTTTAATAGTTTCAGTCCCCCTGTTAAGAAAAACATTTCCAGCTGAGACCCAGGAGACAAAGTCTATGTAGAAAGATAGGTCCTGCTGTTTTTTTCCCACCGGTTGGAACTTCCTTTATTTTCCCTCCTTCCTTAATATCTCTGTTTACTGCTTAAATGCAAATTAAAGAAAGCACTCATTCCTTCTGTTGTTTAGGACAAACCTGACTTCTGCTTAGGCAGAGCTGTGGCATTTGGAATGTTTGTTAACATCATCATACAGGGGAATCTTATAAGTCAGGGGTGGCCAAACTGGCTCGCGAGCCACATGTGGCTGTTTAAAGGTTAAGGTATGGCTTGCAGTGTCCCCACATTTGCCATTCTCCACCTATCAGACTGGTGGGGGCAGGGGGACAGAGGAGCTTGGGAACTCTGCCTTGCAGCAAGGTGGTGGGGTGGAGGCTTCTGCCAAGTGGGGAGGAGGAGGAGTTTTGGGGTTTCAGCCCCACAGGGCATGCCTGCCAGGGCTCAGGGCTTCAGCTAGAGCAGGGCTGAAGCCCCAAGCCCCAGCAGGTGCCTCCCGCAGACCTGAAGCCCTGAGCCCCACCAGGTGCCTCAGCTCTCAAAATTCTTAAGATTGTCGTACTCGGCTCTCATGGTCAGCAAGTTTGGCCACCCGTTATAACTTCACAAGCAATGTTGTCAGCAGACATGTTACTAGGACAATAATTATAAGTTTTCAAAAGATATCTTACAAGGTATACTTTTCACAAAAATTACAATAGTGTGTAGAAAGTGAATACTGGAGTATAATCCATCACAAGATTTTACCAAACTGAGTGACAGGGCAACAAAATGGCAGATGAATTTCAGTGTTGATAAATGCAATGTAATGCACATTGGAAGACAATTACAACTACACATACAAAATGAAGGGGTCTAATTATGCTGTTACCACTCAAGAAAATTCTTGGAGTCATTGTGGATAGATCTCTGACAAACCTGCTCAACATGCAGTGGCATTTAAAAAACAAAACAAACCTAACAATGTTTAAGCAATGTGGGATTTTAGGCATTTCAAGAGTAAGGCGGCAGCTGAGTACGGGTCTTAAGGATCTCGGAGGCACCTAAATTTAATTTTTTTGGATCTCTGCCTTGGAGGTTTATCCCAAACAAGTAGTTTGGTATCGTATTTCTCTATGTTTCTTCCAAATTACTTATGCATAAGATAATACAGCTTTAGCAACTATTAAACTTCTATTACCAATGTGAATTATTCAATTTACCAACACTCTTACATTTGATCCAAATTACCACAAACTTTTAGACTTATATGACTGAAATGGAATTAGATGTTACCTAACAGACTTCCACAGGAACATGTTTTGTAATTGACAGAACCAACAGGTTTTCAATTTTGGAAATAGAATCACATGTGACTTAATTAGCACAACAGCTTGGAGAGGGGGGGACGGGGACAACAACCTTAATTCATATAGTCAAGGGCAGAATCATGCATTCTTGTGCAGCTTGCCTTCCACTGTCATATGACAATGCATTAGGTAATAGTACCATCTGCTTAACTACCTGCTCCAGAACTCAACTTATTAAACCTGGAATACACACATACCGATACATAAAAACTATTTTTGCATGCATTTCATATGCTTCTTCTGCACACATTTCTTTGGACTACATCAGTTTTGATCTCCAAAACAGACATGTATGTATATAAGGACTTCTTTTTTTATACTGCCTCTCTCATAGAAGAAAAATCCATTCATATAATTCAATTTTTTATATGTAACATTCCAAAACATTTTATAAGATTCTTTCATTATCACCTCAAGAAGAAAACCAGTGCTAAATCCGTGCCAACACAATAGTTATATAACAGATAAAGTATTTATAAATGGGGGTCAACTTAGCAGTCAGTAAGAGACTCCTTACTCCAAGGAGATCCAAGCCAAAGGAATGAGTACTCCTTCAAGCTAAAAAAGATTTAAAGCAAAACCTGCCTAAAGCACCTATTGAAAAAGAAGCCTAACAGGAAGACCACAGAGACTGGAAAATAATGTGGACAATGGGAGTCGGTTAGAGATTTCATCTGAAGTCAAAGCACACTTTGGAAGCATCCATAACAGAATCACAGCTTTAAAAGCAAAATATGACATCCTAGACATGTGAATGATAGTTTGTCTTGCAGGGGAAAACCCCTCTACAGGCACACAAAAAGGTAGAGTCTCCACATAGGCATCATAAGAGAACACATGTTTCTAAACAAAGATTATGGGCAACCAAATAAGAGTTAATATTAGATTATCTGAGCTCCTCGCAATGCCTGGAGCTACTGTGGTCTTGGAGAGAAGCTGGTTCTGAACTGGATGCAGCAAACAACCCAGATAATTGAAAGCCACGGGAACAAATTCTATACAAAACTCTAAATAAATATATATTGAAGTTCAATATTCTTGTATGACTTAAGTCCAGAAAAGGGAAGGAAAGTTTAACAGTCAAGGAGTCAGTCCTTGTAGGATAGCCTAAAGCAACTTCAAATCTACATAACAAAAAAGCATAAGGAGCTCCAGTAGGCTGTTTTACAAATCAAGAGAACATCTGACTGCAGCTACAAATGCCATAGATCTTAATGAGACAAAGTGGGTGAGGTAATATCTTTCATTGGACCAGCTTCTGTTGGTG